TGAAGATGATTTGCCGAAAAGTATACTTTGCCTAACAAATTAACTTTTTAAAGAATTTTAAGCCAAAAAGGCAGGCAAGGAAATGTGTAAATCAGGGAGCTGGATGTTACAAAGGCAAAGTTAGGTAAACCACATGCTCCAATTGCTTAAATGGGTCAGTTTTCAACCGCCGTATATACACCACCTCCAGGTAGGGCAACTGGCAACTAGACCTATAGATTACCTGCTTAGATAGCTGTTTAAACAAGAAAAAAGAATTCCACGTTCTTCTGTTACTAAGCACTTGCTCGATAAGGACACTCTGTAGACCCCAAACATCCTTCCGAGTACTTGTTCGGGCACGAACAACTCGTACATTGCGTTACCTGTATATACGGCGGTTAAAATTCCACATAATGTAAATAGTTTGAGCACGTGGTTAACCTAACGTCGCCTTGGTAAAATCCACCTGCCAGATTTATACATTTCTTCCTCTTCCTTTCTTGCCCTAAAAGTTTCCCTAACTTGCGCTTCCCATGGTGCATTTTAACTTGTCTACGTTATTAATTAGTCTATGTGGCAATTTACTATGACCCTGTTAGTTTGAACCGATTTTTATGTACGGATTCAATTTTTGTATTCTCTCAGATGTTATTCATGTTACGCAACGAGATGTCGCAGCTGAAGAGCACTCACGAAATTTAGTGGTCCCATTAAATTCTGCTGTTTTCGCATGCTTCAAATTTGCACCAGTGGAAAAATGCCTTAAATTGCTCTGAAATACCAAATATGACGCTAGAAGGTCCACTGGGTGAGAAATGTTAAAGGAACTTTCGGGATTGTTTAAACGAAACGTTAGATCTGCCCGCAGTAAGGTGACTTAACAGTTACTGTCATGTTTTTTGCCGACTAGCAGAGTGCACATGGGTATTAAAAACTAGCCGTCAGCGCTAGCAGCAATCGATAAATCCGCCACGCAGATAGTGCAAGACATTTAATCTTCCAAAAAGTGATTGGCTAATTAGGAGTCAGCACTATCGATTGCCACGACTAGATAAGTAACCAAACGATCCAGCAACTAATATCGCTACTGTGCAACGTTGTGTATAAACAGAGTCATTTAAAAACCGCTGCGGGGGGAGAGAGAAGAAGGACTAAAAATGCAAAAGTTCACGCCGATGCAATTGGTGCATTGAGCAAAATCTGTGCTGGTAAAGGGCCTATCGCAGGA